AAGGCAGGGTGGCCCGAAAAAGAAAAACTTTCACCATCATTCACTCCATCAGTGTCTTGCCAGAAGGGTGCTTTACACTACAGTTTTTAAACTGCAACATTAACACCCCTCCTTCAGAGTGCAGGCACTGTACTTCCCATCTCCAGGACTCAAGTCCGGCCTGCCGGTTTCCCTGAACCCCTTCATAAATGTTACTTTGCTCACACTCCAACAGCACGTCAAGTATTAAAAACCATTTGTCTCCATTCACTCCTATCAAACACGCTCACGCATGCCTGCTGGAAGTCCAAGCCCCTCGCACACAAAACCTCCTTTACCCCCTCCCTCCAACCTTTCCTAGGCCGACCCCTACCCCGCCTTCCTTCCACTACAGACTGATACACTCTTGAAGTCATTCTGTTTCGCTCCATTCTCTCTACATGTCCGAACCACCTCAACAACCCTTCCTCAGCCTCTGGACAAACAGTTTTGGTAATCCCGCACCTCCTCCTAACTTCCAAACTACGAATTCTCTGCATTATATTCACACCACACATTGCCCTCAGACATGACATCTCCACTGCCTCCAGCCTTCTCCTCGCTGCAACATTCATCACCCACGCTTCACACCCATATAAGAGCGTTGGTAAAACTATACTCTCATACATTCCCCTCTTTGCCTCCATGGACAAAGTTCTTTGTCTCCACAGACTCCTAAGTGCACCACTCACTCTTTTTCCCTCATCAATTCTATGATTCACCTCATCTTTCATAGACCCATCCGCTGACACGTCCACTCCCAAATATCTGAATACGTTCACCTCCTCCATACTCTCTCCCTCCAATCTGATATTCAATCTTTCATCACCTAATCTTTTTGTTATCCTCATAACCTTACTCTTTCCTGTATTCACCTTTAATTTTCTTCTTTTGCACACCCTACCAAATCATCCACCAATCTCTGCAACTTCTCTTCAGAATCTCCCAAGAGCACAGTGTCATCAGCAAAGAGCAGCTGTGACAACTCCCACTTTGTGTGTGATTCTTTATCTTTTAACTCCACGCCTCTTGCCAAGACCCTCGCATTTACTTCTCTTACAACCCCATCTATAAAATATATTAAACAACCACGGTGACATCACACATCCTTGTCTAAGGCCTACTTTTACTGGGAAAAAATTTCCCTCTTTCCTACATACTCTAACTTGAGCCTCACTATCCTCGTAAAAACTCTTCACTGCTTTCAGTAACCTACCTCCTACACCATACACTTGCAACATCTGCCACATTGCCCCCCTATCCACCCTGTCATACGCCTTTTCCAAATCCATAAATGCCACAAAGACCTCTTTAGCCTTATCTAAATACTGTTCACTTATATGTTTCACTGTAAACACCTGGTCCACACACCCCCTACCTTTTCCCAAAGCCTCCTTGTTCATCTGCTATCCTATTCTCCGTCTTACTCTTAATTCTTTCAATTATAACTGTACCATACACTTTACCAGGTACACTCAACAGACTTATCCCCTATAATTTTTGCACTCTCTTTTATCCCCTTTGCCTTTATACAAAGGAACTATGCATGCTCTCTGCAATCCCTAGGTACCTTACCCTCTTCCATACATTTATTAAATAATTGCACCAACCACTCCAAAACTATATCCCCACCTGCTTTTAACATTTCTATCTTTATCCCATCAATCCCGGCTGCCTTACCCCCTTTCATTTTACCTACTGCCTCACGAACTTCCCCCACACTCACAACTGGCTCTTCCTCACTCCTACAAGATGTTATTCCTCCTTGCCCTATACACGAAATCACAGCTTCCCTATCTTCATCAACATTTAACAATTCCTCAAAATATTCCCTCCATCTTCCCAATACCTCTAACTCTCCATTTAATAACTCTCCTCTCCTATTTTTAACTGACAAATCCATTTGTTCTCTAGGCTTTCTTAACTTGTTAATCTCACTCCAAAACTTTTTCTTATTTTCAAACAAAATTTGTTGATAACATCTCACCCACTCTCTCATTTGCTCTCTTTTTACATTGCTTCACCACTCTCTTAACCTCTCTCTTTTTCTCCATATACTCTTCCCTCCTTGCATCACTTCTACTTTGTAAAAACTTCTCATATGCTAACTTTTTCTCCCTTACTACTCTCTTTACATCATCATTCCCCCAATCGCTCCTCTTCCCTCCTGCACCCACTTTCCTGTAACCACAAACTTCTGCTGAACACTCTAACACTACATTTTTAAACCTACCCCATACCTCTTCGACCCCATTGCCTATGCTCTCATTAGCCCATCTATCCTCCAATAGCTGTTTATATCTTACCCTAACTGCCTCCTCTTTTAGTTTATAAACCTTCACCTCTCTCTTCCCTGATGCTTCTATTCTCCTTGTATCCCATCTACCTTTTACTCTCAGTGTAGCTACAACTAGAAAGTGATCTGATATATCTGTGGCCCCTCTATAAACATGTACATCCTGAAATCTACTCAACAGTCTTTTATCTACCAATACATAATCCAACAAACTACTGTCATTTCGCCCTACATCATATCGTGTATACTTATTTATCCTCTTTTTCTTAAAATATGTATTCCCTATAACTAAACCCCTTTCTATACAAAGTTCAATCAAAGGGCTCCCATTATCATTTACACCTGGCACCCCAAACTTACCTACCACACCCTCTCTAAAAGTTTCTCCTACTTTAGCATTCAGGTCCCCTACCACAATTACTCTTCACTTGGTTCAAAGGCTCCTATACATTTCACTTAACATCTCCCAAAATCTCTCTCTCTCCTCTGCATTCCTCTCTTCTCCAGGTGCATACACGCTTATTATGACCCACTTCTCGCATCCAACCTTTACTTTAATCCACATAATTCTTGAATTTACACATTCATATTCTCTTTTCTCCTTCCATAACTGATCATTTAACATTACTGCTACCCTTCCTTTGCTCTAACTCTCTCAGATACTCCAGATTTAATCCCATTTATTTCCCCCACTGAAACTCTCCTACCCCCTTCAGCTTTGTTTCGCTTAGAGCCAGGACATCCAACTCTTTTCATTCATAACATCAGCAATCATCTGTTTCTTGTCATCCGCACTACATCCACGCACATTTAAGCATCCCAGTTTTATAAAGTTTTTCTTCTTCTCTTTTTTAGTAAATGTATACAGGAGAAGGGGTTACTAGCCCATTGCTCCCGGCATTTTAGTCGCCTCATACGACACGCATGGCTTACGGAGGAAAGATTCTTTTCCACTTCCCCATGGACAATAGAAGAAATAAAAAGGAACAAGAGCTATTTAGAAAAAGGAGAAAAACCTAGATGTATGTATATATATATGCATGTGCGTGTCTGTGAAGTGTGACCAAAGTGTAAGTAGGAGAAGCAAGATATCCCTGTTATCTAGCGTGTTTATGAGACAGAAAAAGAAACCAGCAATCCTACCAATATATTTTATTAAATTATGATGTTAATGACATGTTAATGAGTCTCTATAGGCAGGTGCCTTTATACTGGTTAATAATTAGCTACTTTATGTGTTAGAATTAGACATTTTGAGAGGTAAACAAACCTGTCTTCGTCCTCGTAACACCGCCTCTCTTCTTCTATTATTATCGCCATTAATCTGCTAATTATCTCACAGATTTGGACCTTTCCACATACATTATATACAGTGGACCCCCGGTTAACGATATTTTTTCACTCCATAAGTATGTTCAGGTGCCAGTACTGACCGAATTTATTCCCCTAAGGAATATTGTGAAGTAGATTATTCCTTTCAGACCCCCAAACATACACGTACAAACGCACTTACATAAATACACTTACATAATTGGTCGCAATCGGAGGTAATCGTTATGCGGGGGTCCACTGTATTAGGCCTTCCTGTCATGGTAGATTTTTGGTGATAATGTTTGTATAGGCCCCGATGACCCACGATTAATTAACACATTACGCCATAACCAGCTTCCCTCAAGAACATAATGGTGTACCAGTACATCTTAATTATTTCAATAACACTTACAGGTGTCTAATATATTTTTATTATTGAAATATTTTCTTCCAATATTATAACAATTTTGTTTACTTAATCATTTCCTTGCAGTATATAAAGAAATTATAGAAAATATTATGTGGCAGAACACCTTTTAAAAGTCACATTAAAGGTTCACATTTACATAATTTTGTATATTATTATTCCCGTCAATCCTTACACACGGGGCCAGGAGCTATGACTCAACCCCTGCAACCACAACTAGGCGAGTGCAAATTACAGGAAAATTATAAAAACCAAATTTGACAACAATGTATCTACCACATCTGCTGGGAAAATGACAGGATGGATAATGAGAACCTTCAAAACTAGGGATGCCAAACCCATGATGATTCTTTTCAAATCTCTTGTTCTCTCTAAGCTGCCTCCTTCATGGCAGGTGATATTGCTGACCTGGAGAATGTACAGAGAACTTTCACTGCACATATAAGTACCATAAAGCACATAAATTACTGGGAGCAGTTGAAGGCCCTCAACTTGTACTCCTTGGGATGCAGGCGACAAAGATACATGATAATATACACTAGGAATATCCTAGAGAGACTAGTCCCAGATCTGCAAAAGACTAGTGTATATACCAAATGTGTATACTATTCCTCCTGTAGGTGGGAGATAAACCCTGATGGGTATATCTCCTACCTAAAAGAACAATGGTAATTTCTGGAGAATATTCTTAATTTGTTGGTGAGGAAGCGTGAGTACTAGACTGTGGGAGGTTGTGTGTGTTGCAGTGTTGCTGAGGTTATGTGTGTTGCAGTGTTGCTGAGGTTGTGTGTTGCAGTGTTGCTGAGGTTATGTGTGTTGCAGTGTTGCTGAGGTTGTGTTGCAGTGTTGCTGAGGTTATGTGTGTTGCAGTGTTGCTGAGGTTATGAGTGTTGCTGAGGTTGTGTTGCAGTGTTGCTGAGGATGTTGATGTTATTACGTGTGTTGCAGAGTGCTGAGGAGGAAGGTGCTGTGAATGGTGAGGCTGTGTTGGTGTACAACAACCCGGCTTTTATGGCTCTCACAGAGACAACACTACCACCACCACTACCACCCTCCCGACCTTCCACCCCAAGACCCATTACCAGGTAACACACTCTCACACATTATATATAATACATACATAATATAATATATATATATATATATATATATATATATATATATATATATATATATATATATAATATATAATATATATATATATATATAATAATATATATAATTTGTTACAGTAAAGTCTGTTATAAATGCCCTTTACACGACTGTTAATATATAATTGATGACACTTAAGAGGGGTTTATAACAGAGTTGACTGTATCATTTCCACTTACACAGGAGTTACTCAGCAGCGTCAGAGTACAGCAGCAGGAACACTGCTGTACAGCAGCAGGTGTTAGGTAGCACTGCTGCTGTAGCATCGTCAGTAGTGAGGACAGGTATCCCTGGATGGGAGGGTATCCCTGGATGGGATACCTACCTCAGTGGACAGTCACACTCCGAGTTCAACGCTGCCTTGTTTAATCCAGCCTCAGGAGGTGAGCTTTAGATAGACTTGAAACCTCATTAACTAACTAGCCAGTCTTAATGACCCTCGTGTAGTAGATAGACTTGAAACCTCATTAACTAACCAGTCTTAATGACCCTCGTGTAGTAGCTTTTGGTCATCTGACCGAGGCCTTCCACTGGCTAACTTAACCTAACCTAACTTACCTATCCTACGTAACCTAACTTAAGCTAACCTAACTTACCTAACCTAACCTAACTTACCCTAACCTAACCTAACCCAACCTAACTCATCCTAACCTAACTTACCTAACCTAACTTTAATTTAAGTAAAGTTCCTGGATACTTAGAATTCACCCAATTTCAGTACTTTGTGAAGAGAATAGTTGATAGTTGAACACTATCTGCCATGGATAGTTAACCCATAACTTAGGTTAGGTAAGATTGGTCAGGAAACAGGACAAGTGTTTTCTGACACGGGTCTTAGATAATGACCCACAGCTGGGCTTTTGGTCAACTGACTGAGGCCTTCCGCTGGCTTACCGGTTTACCACTTTTAAAATGTGGTTAGTTATAAACATTTAGTTAACTCTGGTTTACTACAGTTATTAGAGTACTGTTTGATGACAGGTTTACCGCCCCTGGTGACTGGTTACCCCAGCAACCAGTCTATCTACCAGCAGTCTCCCCATGTATCGTACGTGTATCCTCCCACCACTACCACCACTGAAGACAACAACCACTACCACTGCTACTATCCCTTCTCCACTCAGAGCTTGGACAGACGCAGGTATGTGACCACTAGTATCACCAGTCATCACCACTGCAATCACTCATTAACCACCACTGCAATCACCACTATTGTGGTTCAGTTGGTGGTGTGTCTACCTCGCACACTGAAAGTCCGGGATCAATCCCGGGCATGGGTAAATAACAGGGTGTTGGTTACCTTATACCTGCTGTCATTGTTCACTTAGCAGTAAATAGGTACCTGGGTGTTAGCACAACATCCGCTAATAGCAATACATATGTGTATATATTTAGGTAATGTATGTAGGCAGGATGTAACAACTACTCTGTGTTTGTTGGTAAGTTTATTCAGGTATACACAAATACAGTTACATAGAATTATCATACATAGAAGTATATGTGTAGAGAACCTGGGATAACACAAAAAAAGTCAGACAGTGACTAATTTCCATTGGTGTTGTGATTGGTTGCCCAGACTACAAATTGCCTGCTCTCTCTCACTCTCTCTCTCTCTCTCTCTCTCTCTCTCTCTCTCTCTCTCTCTCAGAGCTGTGTCGAGGCAACATCTCCTCCGTCTAGAAGGATGCTGTTCTTCTCATCTCATGTTATTTAGACTGTCTTGGTGGTGTATGTCTCCACTGGCAGCCGTCACACACACCGTAACTCTGTGTAATTCTGCTCACAGATTTATTTGGAGTTAGTGATTACTGAGACTGTGTCATAATACATTCACTGTACTCACCTAGTTGTGGTTGCAGGGGTCGATTCATAGCTCCTGGCCCCGCCTCTTCACTGGTCGCTACTGGATCTCTGGTTCCGAGTTCTAGTCTTGACCTACATTGTTCTGGCATCTAGTGTGCAAATGGGACAAGAGATGAGTGGAGAAATGTTATACTTACAGTTAAGGGGTATTTTGAAGTATATGGGTACAGATCAGTGGTAGTGAGATGGAACAATGGCGAACCTCACCATTATTATTATAATCAAGGGGGAAGCGCTAAACCCAGAGGATTATACAGCGCCTGGGGGGGGATGTGGAAGGCATTCAGGCTTAATTCGGGGAACTGGAGCACAGATCCAATTCCCTAAATCAAGAGCCCATCACCAACATCAAGGAACCTTCCTTGAGGGGGAGAACCTCTCCAGAATGGACACATTTGACAAGCTTAGATGTTTTGGGGTAGTTTCACTGCTGAAGGCCCTGGTTGGCTGTTATTGTTGAGGAGATGATGAACAGTGGCAAATATGAGGTAATTCTGGCAACTCAATTGCTTTCCCACTGAGGACAGTCTTTCCTGATGGAGAAGACATTTATCAGCATCATCTTGTTCCATGCCACCAAAAACATGCTGACAGTCTTCGGGGAGAGTGGAGCAAACTTTCTGAAAGTCTGTCTGAACTCAGTTTCAGTAATAAGGGAGTTTTTTTTTCCCCTTACGGTCCCTTAACCCTTTGACTGTCGCGGCCGTATATATACGTTTTACGAGGTGCCGTGTTTGACGTATATATACTCATAAATTCTAGCGGCTTCAAATCAAGCAGGAGAAAGCTGGTAGGCCCACGTGTGAGAGAATGGGTCTGTGTGGTCAGTGTGCACCATATAAAAAAAATCCTGGAGCACGCAGTGCATAATGAGAAAAAAAAAAACTCCGACCGTTTTTTTTTAATTAAAATGCCGACTTTGTGGTCTATTTTCGTATAGTATTTATGGTTGTATTCTCGTTTTCTTGGTCTCATTTGACAGAATGGAAAACATATTACAGAAATAGAGGTGATTTTGATTGATTTTACTATAAAAAGAACCTAGAAATGGAGCTCAAAGTAGGGGAAATGTTTGATTTTTGCCAATGTTCAAAAGTAAACAAATGATGCCATTGTCCAATAAATGTCCAACTAGCCATTCTAATATGCTGTCATGAATGGGTTGATGTTATTTATACAGTTATTACAGCATTGCAGTAGTCTGCATAATAGTAAGTCTAATATTTTTTGTTTGAATAAAAATTCAAAATAGAAAGCAAGAGTAATATCAGAGGGGCCTGGAGACGTGACTGATGAACAAAGAAAACGTTATTTTAGAGCCAGGAATGTCTGCATTGTTCATTCTGGACCTTATTTTGAAATTGTCATATTTTTTAGTTTTCGTGAAATTGGCCAAATTGCAAATTTCTGACCACATTATTAGGTAGTTGAAATCAGTAAATGGGCAGTTTCTTGTATTCAATCGATAGAACAAATGAAGTTCTAAAGAAATAGCTATGAGTTTGGGCGACTGGAACAATGGAATTAGCCGAAAATAGGGCTCAAAGTGGGCGAAATCGCCGATTTGTAAACAGCGCCGAGGTCGCTAACTTCGCGAGAGCATAATTCCGTCAGTTTTCCATCAAATTTCGTTTTTTTTTGGTGTCATTACAATCGGGAAAAGATTCTCTATCATTTCATAAGAAAAAATATTTTTTTTTTTTTTTTAAATTTTGCGACACCAGGAGACACCTCAGGATTGGGGGTTGCGACAGTCAAAGGGTTAGGGTCGTTTTTTGGTCTTCTTGTTCCTTGCTTGACGCTGTTCTGCTCACTGCTGCTTCCAGCAGTACTGATGTTTTGCGAACTGGCTGTCCTGCTGTTCTAGCAAGCTGTTTGATTGCCTCTATGGGTCAGAGGATAGCTTATTTAGGGACTTGTTTTATCAGTCACATTGGTAGATAAGACACATATGCAACATTCAGGCAACTTTATTCCGAAACGTTTCGCCTACACAGTAGGCTTCTTCAGTCGAGTACAGAAAGTAGGCAGGAGCAGTAGAGATGTGAAGACGATGTAATCAGTCCATCACCCTTGAAGTCGTAGATTTGAGGTTGTCAGTCCCTCAGCCTGGAGAAGTTCTATTCCAAAGTCTGGATTACATGGTCTTCACATCTCTACTGCTCCCGCCTACTTTCTATACTCGACTGAAGAAGACTACTGTGTAGGCGAAACGTTTCGAAATAAAGTTGCCTAAATGTTGCCTATGTGTCTTATCTACCAACCTGTCGGTATTGTATACCATTTGATAATCGCTCTGTCAGACACTGGAACACAATGGCATCTTGGTACAGAAGAGAAAACACCTTGGACATTTTTTTCAAGTGAGAATTGTTTGATCTGAGAGGGACGTGACCTCCCAGTGGCTACATTCTCACTACTACTACTCTACACCTCTCCTTCCGACAGTATTTAAGTCTCAACACTGTCGCTTGATCTTCAGTTAGTTCCAGACTTTGGAACAGAACTTCTCCAGGCTGAGGGACTGACAACCTCAAATCTACGACTTCAAGGGTGATAGACTGATTACATCGTCTTCGCATCTCTACTGCTCCTGCCTACTTTCTGTACTCGACTGAAGAAGCCTACTGTGTAGGCGAAACGTTTCAGAATAAAGTTGCCTAAATGTTGCCTGTGTCTTATCTACCAACCTGTTGGTATTGTACACCATTTGATAATTATCAGTCACATTCTAAGTCGAGTCTAACCAAGCGCACACACACACATGACGTAGTGGAAGCAGGCACCATACACAGTTTTAAGAAGAGGTATGATAAAGCTCATAGAGCAGGGAGAGAGTTGACCTAGTAGCGACCAGTGAAGAGGGACCAGCAGCTATGAATCGACCCCTGCAACCACAATTAGGTGAGCACAATTAAGTACATTGTACTTTCGAGTACATTCATTACAATAACGTACCAGATAGTACAGTTTAGCAGTGTTTAGTGTACAGTATCTTACCTAAGGTTTTGATAGTTAATAAACCCAGCATATAAACCTGCTAAATCTTTCTGAATAATTAATTATACATAATATTCAACCTAGACACATTTTTCTTATTAAAGTTATTAATTTTGACATAATTATTGGTATTTATCCAACTGTGAGTCCTAAGTGCTACTGAGAAGTCCCATATAAAGCAAGGTAACTGGACTAGAATAACTGTTACTAGACCAGTAACAGGCTAGATGCTAGAGGGGAAACCAATAAACTGACTTTCTAGTATTCTCTGGAGGTATCTAGGATAATATGTATTATGTAATACCAGTAATGTGATAATGTTGACAGGTATGGAGTTAAGGGCCATGGATGTAGCTGGGAGGACAGAGTGAGTCAACAAGCGGGGGTCCTAGCCACGTCTGGCTTCACTAGACCGACGGTACTAGTGAACCCGGGATTCTCTAGACCGGGTGTACTAGTGAACCCGGGAGTACTAATGAATCCGAGCTTCACCAGACCGGCAGTGCTAGTGAACCCAGGCTTCACCAGGACACGGTCACTGTCCACCCCTGTCTTCAATAGACATATATATGACAGTCGCAGTTCACTGGGCGCCGACAGTGATGACTTCAGCCAGTACCGTGACGTGGCTCTCTGAACCTACAAGTACTTACCTCAGGTGCTTGATGGGGAAGTACACGGACACGGACACACACAAAATACCAGGAAACTTACCCCATTATAAACCTTTAATAAATCATATATTATACAATTTTGGGTGGAAAATTCAGTGGAATGAAGAGACCTGAACCATCAGTGTAGAATTATCAATTATTAGCCCTAATTTACTGAACCAAAGAGTAACTATCTGCATCTATATAATTATTGTTTGTTAAGGTGAGGAACAGGAAGAGCTCTACTTCCTTGGATCAATATACACTTGCTAAAATATATATATGTCGTGCCGAATAGGCAGAACTTGCGATCTTGGCTTAAATAGCAACGCTCATCTTGCCATATAGGACAAGTGAAAATTTGTGTATGCAATAATTTCACCAAAATCATTCTGAATCTAACGAAAAAAATATATTTCCCTGTGTTTGTTTAGTATTAAATTATTGTAAACAAATCTAAAATATATTTAGTTGGGTTAAGCTAAAATAAATTGTTCTTGTTATAATAAGGTTAGGTAAGTTTTCTAAGATTCTTTTGGTGCAAAATTATAAATTTTTACATTAACATTAATGAAAAAAAATATATCTTTAAATGTATAAGAGAAACTTTTAGAAAGGACTTAATTTTAAATGAGTTCTTGCTAATTGACCAGTTTTACCTATTCGGCACCACGACCAACTTGTTGAAAAAAATATATATATATATATATATAATATATATATATATATATATATATATATATATATATATATATATATATATATATATATATATATTGATAATTATCAGTCATAAAAGTTATATATAAAATTTTCTTTTATGTTTAATTGTCACAAATTATCTTATTCCAAAATATCTTATTCTTAATCATTTTATTTCTGATTATCACAAATTATCTTATTATTATCACAAATTATCTTATTCTTAATTATGACAAATTATCTTGTTCTTAATAATCACAAATTATCTTATTCTTAATTATCACAAATTTTCTTATTCTTAATAATCACAAATTATCTTATTCTTAATTATCACAAATTTTCTTATTCTTAATTATCACAAATTATCTTATTCTTAATTATCACAAATTTTCTTATTCTTAATAATCACAAATTATCTTATTCTTAATTATCACAAATTTTCTTATTCTTAATTATCACAAATTATCTTACTGTTATCACAAATTATCTTCCTAATTATCACAAATTATCTTATTCTTAATTATGACAAATTATTTACTTAATAATCACAAATTATCTTAATCTTAATCATGACAAATTATCTTACAGTAATAGTGAAAGATTATATTTAATTAATGATAATTTATGTTCAGTAACTATAATTTTTGACAATGTTTAATTATTTTATTAAAATAACCACTAAAAATAATTAATTACATAACCTTCACTTGGTAATAAGTCATCACTCACATCAATATATAATTAAAATAACAATTATCATATTAAATTATCATAACCATTATTATAAGTTAGTAAGCCGGTGGAAGGTCTCAGTCAGACGACCAAAACCTATAATAACTAAGACCAGCATCAGGAAACACTTGTCCTGTTTCCTGACTAACTTCACCTAACATATAAATTATGGCTGAGATTTATATACCAGAAGTATGTATATTCTGAGAGGCATGTATATTATAGTGTGGCCCAGTGGGCCGGTGGCCCGGTGGCCTGGTGGCTAAAGCTCCCGCTTCACACACGGAGGGCCCGGGTTCGATTCCCGGCGGGCGGAAACATTTCGACACGTTTCCTTACACCTGTTGTCCTGTTCACCTAGCAGCAAATAGGTACCTAGGTGTTAGTCGACTGGTGTGGGTCGCATCCTGGGGGACAAGATTAAGGACCACAATGGAAATAAGTTAGACAGTCCTCGATGATGCACTGACTTTCTTGGGTTATCCTGGGTGGCTAACCCTCCGGGGTTAAAAATCCGAACGAAATCTTATCTTATATACACTGACAGGTGAATACTTCTGTGTATATACACTGATAATGTATACATCAGTGTATATAAACTGACAACAGTACACACACACACACACACACACATATATATATATATATATATATATATATATATATATATATATATATATATATATGATTTATATTAAATAAACTCCAAATGTATATTGTTTTTCTTACCTAAATATTAATAAGATGGTTCACAGCTCAGTTTTTCTCACAACTGAGGGAGCCGGGTTAAATCCTGGGGCGGGGAGAGATGTGGGACAAGTTATCTAACACCTGCTGTCACTGTTCACCTAGCAGTAAGTAGGTACCTGGGTGTTAGTTACCTTACACCTGCTGTCACTGTTCACCTAGCAGTAAGTAGGTACCTGGGTGTTAGTTACCTTACACCTGCTGTCACTGTTCACCTAGCAGTAAGTAGGTACCTGGGTGTTAGTTACCTTACACCTGCTGTCACTGTTCACCTAGCAGTAAGTAGGTACCTGGGTGTTAGTTACCTTACACCTGCTGTCACTGTTCACCTAGCAGTAAGTAGGTACCTGGGTGTTAGTTACCTTACACCTGCTGTCACTGTTCACCTAGCAGTAAGTAGGTACCTGGGTGTTAGTTACCTTACACCTGCTGTCACTGTTCACCTAGCAGTAAGTAGGTACCTGGGTGTTAGTTGCCTTACACCTGCTGTCACTGTTCACCTAGCAGTAAGTAGGTACCTGGGTGTTAGGTGACTGGTGTGGGTGGCATCCTGGGGGACAAGATTGAGGACAATAATGGAAATAAGCCAGACAGTCCTGGATGATGTACTGACTTTCTTGTGTTATCCTGGGTGGCTAACCCTCCCTACCCTGGGTTATCCTGGGTGGCTAACCCTCCCTACCCTGGGTTATCCTGGGTGGCTAACACTCCATACCCTGGGTCAATCTGGATGGCTAACACTCCATACCCTGGGTCAATCTGGGTGGCTAATACTCCATAGCCTGGGTAGGTAGGTAGACACACACACACACACACACACACACACACACACACACACACACACACACACACACACACACACACACACACACACACACACACACACACACACAACACACACACACACACACACACACACACACACACACACACACACACACACACACACACACACACACACACACATGAAGAGAATTAAATCAGATGAGGATCAGGAAGGACTGCAAAGAGACTTGGACAGGCTAGACGCGTGGTCCAGCAACTGGCTTCTCAAATTTAACCCCGCCAAATGCAAAGTCACGAAGATCGGAAAAGGGCAAAGAAGACCGCAGACAAAGTATAAGCTGGGTGGCCGAAGACTGCAAACCTTACACAAGGAGAAAGATCTTGGGGTGAGTATAACACCGAGCACGTCTCCAGAAGCACACATCAACCAGATAACTGCTACAGCATATGGGTGCCTGGTAAACCTGAGATTAGCATTCCGATACTTAGGTAAGGAATCTTTCAAGGCACTGTACACCAGGTACGTCAGGCCCATACTGGAGTATGCAGCACCAGTTTGGAACCCGCACCGGGTCAAGTACGTTAAGAAGTTAGAGAAAGTGCAAAGGTTTGTGACAAGGTTAGTTAGAGCTCAGGGGAATGTCCTACGAAGAAAAGTTAAGGGAAATCGGCCTGACGACACTGGAGGACAGGAGGGTTAGGGGAGACATGATAATGACATACAAAATACTGTGCAGAATAGACAAGATGGACAAAGACAAGATGTTCCAGAGAGGTGACACAGATACGAGGGGTCACCCTTGGAAGTTGAAGACTCAGATGAGTCACAGGGATGTTAGGAAGTATTTCTTCAGACACAGAGTTGTCAGGAAGTGGAACAGTCTGGCGAGTGATGTAGTGGAGGCAGGAACCATACATAGCTTTAAGACGAGGTATGATAAAACTCAGGGAGAGAGAGGACCTAGTAGCATTCAATGAAGAGGCGAGGCCAGGAGCCGAGTCTCGACCCCTGCAACCACAATTAGGTGAGTACATGCTAGAACCATACATAGTTTTAAGATGAGGTTTGATAAAGCTCATGGAGCAGGGAGAGAGAGAGGACCTAGTAGCAATCAGTAAAGAGGCGGGGCCAGGAGCTACGACTCGAACCCTGCAACCACAAATAGATAATTACACACACACACACACATATGAAGAGTATGACATATACACAACAGTGGATATCTTTATTGAGAGATTATTTTAGGCACTACAAGCTTCAGCGGTCACTTAGTGACATCAACTAACTGTACACTTCATCATCTTCATTTCCACCAGTGTTGATGTCTATGTATTCAACTGATGATGTCTGCAACAAAGACAAAACATTTAGTCTTTAACTTGCCAATATTAATTATCATGTGTGAAATATACAGTGGTACCTTGAGTTTCAAACAGCTCCCGACTCGAACAATTATGTAAGTGTGTTTTTGTAAGCGTATTTTTGGGGGTCTGAAATGGACTAATCTAATTTACATTATTCCTTATGGGAACAAATTCGTTTGGTATCAGCACTCGAACAGCCTTCTGGAACGAATTAAGTTCGTAACACGAGGTACCACTGTACATGTTCAACTACCTATACATTGTAGGGGTAAGTATCCCACATAAGTTTAGATTTAGAAAGGATATAGGAAAGTACTGGCTTGGAAATAGAGTAGTGGATGAGTGGAACAGTTTTCTTTGCAAGGTTATTGAAGCTGGAATGTTGGATAGCTTCAAATTTAGGCTAGATAAATACATGAGTGAGGGGGACTGGATTTGAGTGGGACTTGCACTTGCATATTCCTCGGGTAGTATTGAAAATGGTTTGGGTAAATATTTTTGTTAGTGGGTTTGGGTTTGAGAACTTGACTAGTATGTGCCAGTAGGCCTGCTGCAGTGCTCCTCCTTTTTAATTTTCTTATAAAACACACACCACTTTGCCTAGCAAAGTCAACTGAATTTGTAATGTTGATGGTATCCTCACACAGTGGTACCAACCCTGTTCCTCATCCTCGTATCAGACATAGGCAGAGACGTAAACCATAGCACCGTGTCTTTTGTAGACGATACTAGTCACTTCATGAGTATCTGTATCTCGATTTCTAGCGCACTCAGCTCGCACACTGAAGTCCTTGGTTCAATCCCCATTATGGTTAATGTCCACTTGGAGATTTGCTGTGCCCTCAATAGATAACACCTTCATGCAGATTCCAGTATTGTCAGCATAGGAAGACAAGGTGCTGTGGCTTACATCTCTGTCTGTGTCAGATATGAGGATGAGGAACAGGATGGGAACAAGTACTGTGCCTTGTAGAACAGAGCTTTTTACTGTGGCTGCCTCAGACTTTACTCTGTTTACTATTACTCTTTGTGTTCTATTTGATAGGAAGTTATAGCTCCATTTACCCACTTTTCCTTTTATTCATTTACCATACATTTTGTGTTCTATAACACCATGATAACACTTGTCGAAGGCATTCGAAAAGTCTGTGTATACTACATCTGCATTGTGTCTGTCCTCCAGTGCATCCAGGATTATAAGTCAATCAGTCTGTCAACTGATACACTAATCATAGTACGTACATCTGCCAAGGGCCTACAACATCACTACTGATATTGCAATATTAAAACAACTCATAATAGACGTTAAAAATTTAATTACAAAAAATTATTAAAAATTACAGTAGTGATGATGAAAGCGATGAATGATGATAAAAGTTATTTTCCATTCTTTTTGCGTCTCGGTGGGAAATGGTCGACATGTTAAAAAAACACACACGCACACACAGTAATATGTAGATAAATGTAGTAGGTTGATAGACAGCAACCACCCAGGGAGGTACTACTGTCCAGCCAAGTGAGTGTGAAACAGAAACTTGTAACTGTTTTACATGATGGTAGGATTGCTGTTCCTTTTTCTGTCTCATGAACACACTGGAGAATGGGTATAACTTGCTACTTGTGTAGATATATGGTTCAGAGAACTGACAAGTTGTGAGCAGGGTAATATTTATGAAGGGATTGAGGGAAACTGGCAGGTCGGACTTGAGTCCTAGAGACAGGAAGTACAGTGCCTGCACTCTGAAGGAGGGTGTTAATGTTCATTTTATAACTGTAATGTAAGCATGCCTTTGGCAAGACAGTGATGGAGTGAATGATGGTGAAAGTTTTTCTTTTTCAGGGCCACCTTGCCTTGGTGGGAAATGGCCGATGTGTTAATAATAATAAAAAATGTGATAATAAAAAAATGTACCAGTTTACTTCTGTTAAAACCATATGATACATTACTTAGGGTTTGATCTGAGGGAGGAGAGGGTAGCTACAATAGGTTTGATCAAGTCTTCTTCTCTCCCCCTTGAAGTGGAATAACGATGGTGCAACGCTTCACCACTCATGACTATCTTCATCATCACGGAGTGTAATAGCACAAGATTTAGTGATGGTGCTCAGTCTTGGGAAAACTGTTTATTAGTAATGCATCCAATTTTGCCTCCAGCGCTGCCTTCCGTTTCTCGCTGTACATCGTCCTGTAGCACTCGACTTGATGGTTAATGCTTTCACAAATGCTGGAACTTCTCTCTACTATGGGGTCCATGTCCTGAATAGCTGCCAATGCTGTATCCAGCAGCCTCAATGCACGGAACATTTTTTTGGTTGTCATTTCTCGATATATGGGTTCATCCGTCTCTTCATTGTCCTCACATGAAACTGTTCTCATCTTCTCTACCTCAAGTAAGTCGTCAGTCGTCAGTGGTTCCCTAGGTAACTGCAACAGTTGCTGCACATCACATGCTTCAGTCTCAATAAAACCTGCTGTGTGTGCAAGTCGAACGACCTCCTTTATTTCATCTTCAAGGTCAGTGCTAATAATGTCCCAAACTTCACTTTCTTCTTTATTAAATCCCAAAAAATCACACACACATTCTGGCCACAAGTTTCTCCAAGCTGCATTCAAGGTTGACTCCTTCACCTTATTCCAAGAAGCTTCAATGCTCTTAACTGCATCCAAGATGTTATAATTTTGCCAGTACACTTGAATTTGAAGCAGGTCTTGTGTATCTATTGAACGAATCATTTGAGAATAGTTTTCCTGCATGTAAAAACACTTGAACATTGATATCACCCCCTGATCCATGGGTTGGAGAACTGTTGATGTATTTTTGGGTAGAAATTCAACTCTTATGTGAGGAGATGCATCACTTAAGAATGTGGGATGACCTGGAGCTCTATCTATTATTAAACTATCTATTATTAACAATGCTTTGTGATCAATGTTTTTCCTCTTACAATAATTCTCAACAGCTGGGCAGAAGTAAAATATAAACCAGTCTTTAAAAATATATTTGGTTATCCAGGCTTTCTTGTTGGATCTCCACAAAACAGGAAGATACGACTTACAGTAACCTTGTACAGCCTCAGGATTTTCTCTATGATAAATCAAGAGAGGCTTCAGGGGAAACTCTCCTGCAGCATTGGCACCAACAAGAAGAGTTAACTGATCTTCACTTGTGTCAAGTTTAGCTGCTTTTTTATCTTTACAAGATACAAAGGTTCTGTCTGGCATTTTTTTCCAGTAAAGTGTTGTGTCACTGACACTAAACACCTGACATGGTAAATATTCTCCTTCCTCAATAATATTCTTAAAAACTTCAGAATATTGATTTGCAGCTTCAGTATCAGCACCTATTCCTTCTTCAGTTAATTTCAGTTTATGTAAATTGGTTCTTCTCATGAAATGATCAAACCAACTACAACTTGCATTGAAAGACTTGGTGAAAACTGATTCACCTTCTTTCTCTTTTATATCTTCGGTAATATTCCTGGCTTTCTCTTGAATTATTGTCATACTTAAGGGAATGCGCTGTTTAATTCCATCTTCAATCCAAATGTGCAATAAACTCTCCATTGTTTCAATCACATTGCAACTTCCTTTAACTTTCTTGTGATTTTCCTCTCTGCTACACAAAGGTGATTCTGCTAAGTTGGTTGACTTAACCTTACCGAGACCATGATCAACTTGTTCAAGTTTCTGGAGGACTTGCATCTCAGTCTCTAACATAATCTTCTTCTTGGTAGAGGTACCTGTAATTAAAATTCTTTTAATTAGGGCCAGTAATCACAATTTAACTGCTTTATCAAAATACAGGTACATCAGCTCTCTTATATATATAATTGTACTAAAGTACAATTATCATATAAATCTTTTGTATGAAGTTTGATATTTTTTGGTAAATGGAATTGAAAAAGTTTATCCAAAATTTAACAGTGCTTACTATGAAAGCATTTCCATGTTTTATTCAATTTCCTATATATATTTTTTGATGGTATATTCTCTAACAATTAAATAATTAAATTAGTGGGGTAAGCCAGCAGAAGGTCTCGGTCAGATGACCAAAAGCTGCAGTTGTGGGTCATCATATGACTAAGACCTGCATCAGGAAGCACTTATCCAGTTTTCTGACCAATCTTATCTAACCTAACCTATTTTGCTAAAAAAAAAATTGCATTTTGGAGGGATAAAAGAGTGCAAAAATTATAGGGGGATAAGTCTGTTGAGTATACCTGGTAAAGTGTATGGTAGAGTTATTATTGAAAGAATTAAAAGTAAGACGGAGAATAGGATAGCAGATGAACAAGGAGGCTTTAGGAAAGGTAGGGGGTGTGTGGACCAGGTGTTTACAGTGAAACATATAAGTGAACAGTATTTAGATAAGGTTAAAGAGGTCTTTGTGGCATTTATGGATTTGGAAAAGGCGTATGACAGGGTGGATAGGGGGCAATGTGGCAGATGTTGCAGGTGTATGGTGTAGGAGGTAGGTTACTGAAAGCAGTGAAGAGTTTTTACGAGGATAGTGAGGCTCAAGTTAGAGTATGTAGGAAAGAGGGAAATTATTTCCCAGTAAAAGTAGGCCTTAGACAAGGATGTGTGATGTCACCGTGGTTGTTTAATATATTTATAGATGGGGTTGTAAGAGAAGTAAATGCGAGGGTCTTGGCAAGAGGCGTGGAGTTAAAAGATAAAGAATCACAAAATAACATTGTATAAATCGCATCTGCTAAAAAAAATGACAGGATGGATAATGAGAACCTTCAAAACTAGGGAGGCCAAGCCCATGATGAACACTCTTCAGGTCACTTGTTCTATCTAGGCTGGAATATGCTGCACACAAAACAGCACCTTTCAAGCAGGTGAAATTGCCGACCTAGAAAATGTACAGAAAAACTTTCACGGCGCGCATAACAGAGATAAAACACCTCAATTATTGGGAGCGCTTGAGGTTCCTAACCTGTATTCCCTGGAACGCAGGGGGGGAGAGATACATTGATTATATACACCTGGAAAATCCTAGAGGGACTAGTACCGAACTTGCACACGAGAATCACTCACTACGAAAGCAAAAGACTTGGCGGGACGATGCCACCATCCCCCAATGAAAAGCAGGGGTGTCACTAGCACGTTAAGAGACCATACAATAAGTGTCGGGGGCCCAAGACTGTTCAACTGCCCCCCAGCAAAACATAAGGGGGATTACCAAGACCCCTGGCAGTCTTTTAAGCTGGCACTGGACAAGCACCTAAAGTCAGTTCCGGATCAGCCGGCTGTGGCTCGTACGTTGGTTTGCGTGCAGCCAGCAGCAACAGCCTGGTTGATCAGGCTCTGATCCACCAGGAGGCCTGGTCACAGACCGGGCCGCGGGCGTTGGGCCCCGGAACTCTCTCCCCGGTAATAAAGTGGGAGTTGTCACAGTTGCTCTTTGCTGATGACACTGTGCTCTTGGGAGATTCTGAAGAGAAGTTGCAGAGATTGGTGGATGAATTTGGTAGGGTGTGCAAAAGAAGAAAATTGAAAGTGAATACAGGAAAGAGTAAGGTTATGAGGATAACAAAAAAAATTAGGTGATGAAAGATTGGAGGGAGAGAGTATGGAGGAGGTGAATGTATTCAGATATTTGGGAGTGGAGGGTGTCAGCGGAGGGTCTATGAAAGATGAGGTGAATAAGAATTGATGAGGGGAAAAGGCGTGAGTGGTGCACTTAGGGTCTGTGGAGACAAGAAACTTTGCCCTTGGAGGCAAAGAGGGGAATGTTATGAGAGTATAGTTCTTACCAACGTCTTTATGGGTGTGAAGCATGGGTGATGAATGTTGCAGCGAGGAGAAGGCTGGAGGCAGTGGAGATTCATGTTGAGAGCAATGTGTGGTGTGAATATAATGCAGAGAATTCGTAGTTTGGAAGTTAGGAGGAGGTGCGGGATTACCAAAACTGTTGTCCAGAGGGCTGAGGAAGGGTTGTTGAGGTGGTTCGGACATGTGGAGAGAATGGAGCGAAACAGAATAACTTCAAGAGTGTATCAGTCTGTAGTGGAAGGAAGGCGGGGTAGGGGTCAGCCTAGGAAAGGTCTGAGGGAGGGGGTAAAGGAGGTTTTGTGTGCGAGGGGCTTGGACTTCCAGCAGGCATGCGTGAGCGTGTTTGGTGGTGAAAGCTTTTCTTTTTCGGGCCACCCTGCCTTGGTGGGAGTCGGCCAGTGTGATAATAAAAATAGTGATAATAATGTTGTGTATCTTTATACGTATATGCTTCTAAACTGTTGTATTCTGAGCACCTCTGCAAAAGCAGTGATAATGTGTGCGTGTGGTGAAATTGTTGAATGATGATGAAAGTATTTTCTTTTTGGGGATTTTCTTTCTTTTTTGGGTCACCCTGCCTCGGTGGGAGACGACCGACTTGTTGAAAAAAAAAAAAAAAATAAAGGAACTTTAGCACCTTCAATATAACAGAATCTTTAGCACTCTCAATATAAGCAACTTTATTATAATGAACTTTCTAAAATAACAGACAAAATCCATTGGGTAAATTGTACTTGTAACTCTTTTATTCCTAGGTAGTAGGTTGGTAAACAGCAACCGCTCAGGGAGGTACGACCGTCCTGCCAAGTGAGTGTGAAATGGAAGCCTCTAATTGTTTTTCTGTCTCACAAACATGCAAGATTTCGGGTACATCTTGCTATTTCTGCTTACACTTAGATCACACTGCACATGCATATACAAGTACTGTATATATATACACACCCCTCTGGGGGTTTTCGTCTATTATCTTACTAATTCTTGTTCTTGTTTATTTCCTTTTATCTCCATGGGGAAGTGGAACAGAATTTTTCCCTCCATAATCATGAGGTAAGAGGGCTTACTGCGGGGAAAAAAGTGCTAGTAACCCTTCTCCTGTATACATTATAAAGAAAAAAAAAAAACTTTTTTTTTTTAGGTCACCTGCCTCAGTGGGATATGGGGTTTGATGAAAAACAAAAAAAAAACCCTCCTTTATTCTCGATTTATTGCAAGTAGTTTTTTATTTTTATTTTTTAGGCACGGGTATCTTCCCCCAAGGCTAGGTGACCCAAAAAAAAAAAAAAAAAAAAAAATTTTCCCTCTTTTTTACTTTGTAATTTTACAGGGATGGGTTACTAGCCCCTTTGGCAGCTTTTTATCACCTCTTACGACATGTGACTTACGTGGAAGGATTTTTCTCCAGTACAATATTGGGCAACGTAAGTACGGGGTCCCCCTTTGACTTATGGAGGTTAGGTCTGACGAACCCATCTAAATAAAAATGAATACGCCTCTCCTCATTTAAAACGATGGATTTCTTTTCCAAGACCAAATTACACAAATTTGTCACTAAGTGGGGAAAAATATATAATGGTGGAGTTTGTGTAAACCCATTTTGGTATTGTTTTAATGTTCCCTCTGCCCATTTATAACATTTCTGGTTATTTTAAATGTTTTACAATAGTACAGTTTTACTATTATTGTAATAAAAATCTAGGGTTTTTCTCCTTTTTCTAAATAGTCTTGTTCTTTTTTATTTTTCTTTTGTCCTGGGAAATGGAAAAGAACTTTTCCCCCGTAAGCCCTCTGTCGTATGAGGGGATAAAATGCCGGGAGCAAAGGGCTAGAACCCCTTCTCCTGTATACAATTACTAAAAAAGAGAAGAAAAAAAACTTTATAAAAAATGGGGTTTCTTAAAAAAGGCGTGGATGTAGGCGGTGACAAGAAACAGTGATTTGTGTTTATGAATGAAAAGAAGTTGGATTCCTGGCCCTAAGCGAAACAAAGCTGAAGGGGGGGGAAGGGGGTTTTTGTGGGGGGGGAAAAAAATGGGGGTAAATCTGGGGGACTGAGAGGTTAGAGAAAGAAGGGGTGCGTAATGTTAAAGATCAGTTAGGGAAAGGGGAAAAGAGAAAATTTAATGTGTAAAATTTAAAATTATGGGATTAAAAATAAAGGGTTGGGTGCGGAAGTGGGTCTAATAAGCGTGTATGCACCTGGGAAGAGAGGAATGCAGAGGAGAGAGAGAGATTTTTGGGAATGTTAAGTGAATGTAAGGACCTTTGAACCAATGGAGAGGTAATTGGGTAGGGGGCTTGAATGTAAATAGGGAAACTTTTGAGAGGGGTGGTAGGGAAATTTGGGGTGCCAGGTGTAAATGAAATGGGGCCTTTGATTGAAATTTGTTTGAAAGGGGGGTTTTGTTTTAAAAGGTAATACATATTTTAAGAAAAAAAGGGGTAAAAAAGTATACCGATATGATGTAGGGCGAAATGACGAGTCTGGGATTTTTGTTTGGTAATAAAAAACTGTTGAGTAAACTTCAGGGTGTACATGTTTATAGAGGGGCCCCCAAATATCAGATCACTTTCTGTTGTAGCTCACGAGAGTAAAAGGTAGAGGGGTACAAGGAGAATGAAACACAGGGAGAGAGAGGTGAAGTTTATAAACTAAAAGAGGAGGGGAGTTAGGGAAGATTAAAAGCTATTGGAATAGATGGGCTAAGAGAGCATAGGCAATGGGCGAAAAGGGATGGGGGGAGGTTTTAAAAAAATAGTGTTAGAGTGTTCAGCAGAAGTTTTTGGTTCAGGAAAGTGGGTGCAGGAGGGAAGAGGGGCGTTTGGTGGAATGATGATGTAAAGAGAGTTAAGGGAGAAAAAGTTTGCATATGAGAAATTTTTAAAAAGTGAAGTGATGCAAGGAGGGAAGAGTATATGGAGAAAAAGAGAGAATTTAAGAGAGTGGTAAGCAATGAAA